AATGAATGAAAAATGGGTATTGAATGAACATAACAAAAGTTTCATTTCTTGGTTTAAAAAAAGGGTATATGTTGAGATTAATGTTTTAGAAATACTTTTGAGACTTGCTCGTGGGCCTAATAGTGATGTCATTACATTTGGTGAGTATGACATTAATAATTATTGTTTCTACTCAAAAATAGAAGATGATAAAGGTAGAGTACAAAATAGTGGGGTCACAATTCAAGTTGAATCTATGCATTTTTCTAGTTCTAAAGACAAAAATCCTATCACAGCTTCTATGAGTTATTTTGGGGTCATACAAGAGATATGGGAAATTGATTATGTTACTTTTAGGGTGTCTGTCTTCAAGTGTAAATGGGTTGAAGGGAATACGGGTGTGCGAACAGATGACCTAGGATTTACTTTGGTTGATTTGAGTAAAGTTGGGTATAAGGATGAACCTTTTATTTTGGCATATCAAGCGAGACAAATATTTTATGTCAAGGATCCATGTAATGAGAGATGGTCAATTGTCCTTGAAGGAAGAAGCATGCATGGAATTTATGAAGATGAGTCTCTAGATATACATGAAACACCTTCATTTTCAAGTAGACCATTTGATGACATAGTTGACAATGAAATTGATGACATACATGCAATTCGAAGTGATCATGATGAAGGGATACGGGAAAACATACCAACATAATAGGTGTTTATCTTCACATTTTCTAGTTCTTTTTATTCAAACTTATAAAGTATGTTGACTTCGTATTGTTTTGTTTTTCAGGATATGTCGGATTCCACATCTGGTACTGGTAGTGGTAGTGGCAGTGGCAGGAGCGGAAGTGGAGGTAAAGGTAGATTTGTCACTCGGTTAAAGGGGTTGACAGCAAGGAGGGTAGCTAGAAAGAAAACTCAAGTTGAAGTTGATCCACGTTCTGGTAAGGCATCTGACCCAAATGTTGCTAAGTTTAAGAGGTATTTGGGACTACTAGCTCGACACCATGTTCCGATTACTACTCCATCTTGGGATGATGTAGAGGAAACCGAGAAGAACCTCATGTGGCAGGATGTTCAGGTATTTCTATATTTATTGAATACTTTATATATCATTATTAATTGAATTTAACATTTATTGGTCATTTCACAACAAAATTTTGATGTTCCTAACACTGAGGTGATGAGGAAAAAGGTTTTATCCTCCATTGCCATTAGATGGAGGGACTTTAAGACTTTCTTGACACGGGAGTATGTATTTGGAAAGTTTCAAGATGAATCTCCCTGTCTAAAGTATCAAATTAGTGAGGAGGATTGGTTACGGTTTTGTGCCAGTCGAATGGACCCCTCTTGGCAGGATAAAAGACGTGCTGCCCAACAACGTCGGAGGTTGAATGATGCACCCCATGTATTGTCACGAGGAGGGTATGCATTATTGGAGCAACGTCTCATGAAAGCCGAGAGAAGAGTTAGCAGGAGTTGAGTCTATCGACCTTGCATCTCCACCCCTCGCTATGAGATGTGGAAGGCAGCCGGACAAAATCCGATGGACAAATGACTTCGAGTCCGCACGAATCATTGCTCGAGAAAATCGTAAGTTATAATGTCAATTTGAATTGATTCTAATGTGAAAGTTAGTGTATGACTTAATTATTGTTAATGTGTTGTAGGATGATTTAGTTGAAGCAGAGCACCCAAGGATCATTTATTCCTCATGGTCGACAAGATATATTGGCGACAACCATAGGAAAACCAAATTACTCGGGACGTGTGCGTGGTGCTTGGTGGATCATGGGGCCTTCGTGATTACTTTGGTCCAACATCACGAAGGACCACTACTCGACTCTTGCGACCGGAGGCCTTGCATAAAATGGAGATGCGGTTTGAAGAAAAGTTAAATCAAATAAGACAGGTCCTTGCAGCAAGAGTTTGATGAGAAAATTGAATCTCTCGCGCTCTCGGCAACGAGACTCAAGGAACACCTCAAACAATTGAACATGATGTTGTTCGAGTCAGCACTAAAGGGAGTTGTGTTGCTACTGCTGCTGATCCTTCAGGAGAATATACTCAGACTGATGCATCACACCAGTGTGAGTTATATGTTGAAGATGACCCCCCGCGTCTAGTGGCTATTGGTCGAGTTTTTGAGGGTGGTTTAACCATTTATGGTGTCCCTCTACAGGCAGACTGAACACGAGTAGTAGTTGATGAAGTTCATGATGCTAATGCTCCAGTGCCTTTTCCTAATGAAGAGATTCAATTAGTGGGGCAGACAAGCAGGACATTCTTGGCTTGCCCAAGACGTTTGGTTATGCCACTATCAGCACAAACCAAGGTAATATATATATATATATATATATATATATATATATATATATATATAGTCTATTTTCTCTTTTCTAGTATTATAATTATATAAATGTTTAATTAATTGTTATTATTTGTTTAGGAGGACTTGCGTCGTGCTAAGCATAAAAAACAACCTATTATTTATGAGGATTTGACAGAATGTGATGATGATCTCATCTCTATGTTGTTGACCATATTACCACGGTTGAGGAAGAGACCGTGTCAGATACAATGGGATGTTAGAGTGTTTGGAATTGACAATTCCAGTGTTCCATTATACATTTCCTTGCCCGATGCTTTAGAAATTGCTGGGGGAAATTGCATGTTAAACATTTCCATCATACAATTGTGGGCAATGTAAGTCATTCTCATTTATGTTTCTAAGATTATAATAATTATATTCAACTTATAATTAATTGTTTTAGGTACATTGACAAATTGAGTGTGGAACAAGAAAAATCTAAAGTATATGGATTTATTGAGCCTCAATCCATCCAAAAATCTGGAAATACAAAGGTTGGAATCCAACAATATATGCAAACATGGATGAGTGACTCAAAAAGACATATATATTTGGTTCCATACATTGACGGGTTAGTATTTTAATTTGTATTTTAATTTATATTTTTGTAACTAATTTTTATGTCATACAATGTAAGTCTCATTGACAGTTATTTGTAATCATACCCGGGATTACACTCGTGGTGTGGTTTTGTTCATTACATCGGAAACCGAGTCAAGAAATGAAAAGCTTATTACAAGGGTAACTTTATCTTTTATTCATTAATTATGTTTTTAAATTGTAAATACATATTGAATAATATATGACTTTTTTTCACTTAGAATCGTGTATCCGGAACTAATGTTCTAAGTGGAAAACCTAGAACAAAGATTTTGCAGTTCATTTATCCTAAGGTTAGAAACTTATTTATATAAGTGAATACCATAATTATTGTTTGTATTTAAATTTTGAAAATAACATTATGTTTTTTTCATCATTTCAGTGTAATAAGCAAATAGACTCGTTTGAATGTGGTTACTATGTTATGTATTGGATGAGAGCAATAGTTTGTGTGGGTATAATTGATTCTTGGACGGAGGTAATTGTTTTTAACATTAGTTAAGTTTATTTAACTTTATTCATGTTGCATGTTTACAAGAGTCAAATTAATGTTTCAGGTATTTCAAGATTCATCTCCATTACCAGAATATGATATTACACAAATTAGAGAACAATGGGCAAAATTTTTTGTTCAACAATTCTAGTACATAATTTTTTAAGTTCTTGTTCATATTATATTGTGTGTATTATGTAGTTTAGGTAGCTTAGTTTGTATTAACTTTTAGTTTGTAATAGATTTTTTAGTTTGTATGTTTGTATTATATTGTTTTATTATGTAGTTTGAATTATATAATATTATATTTTTAATTTACTAGCTAAAAAAATTGAACCTACTGAATCTGTCTGGTTGTAATATATATTTGCAGGTTTTAGTTGTAAAATAGAATCAACCCAATTTTTTTTTTAAAAACAGCAAATTTACGTCGCGTATACCAATATGCGACGTAAATTTGCTGTTTTTTTTTTTAATTTTTGAAAGTTTTTACGTCTGTTTAGTGGTATATGCAACGCAAAATTACGTCGGGTCTTGATAACTGACGTAAATTTACGTCGGGCTAAAGGGTCTGACGTAAATTTATGTCTCCCGTTTTAACGTCAGTCTTAAATACGACATAAAAAGCCCTAAATACCTGACGTAAAAGCCCCTTTTTGCACTAGTGACCATATACACCCTAGTGAAAATCCATATTCTGTTTCTGTCACTCCAGTTCTAAATGGCAGCAATTACCATTCCTAGTCTCGTTCTATACGAATGGCCCTAGTCTCCAAAAACAAAATGGGTTTCTTGAACGGAACTATACATGTACCAGCTCCCACTGATCGTGTTTATCTCTCTTGGGAGCGTTACAACACTCTCATTATCTCGTGGCTGCTAAATTCGTTGTCACTGTCCATTGCCCAGAGCGTCATTTTCCTTGACCATGTTGCAGATATCTGGACAGACCTTAAAGAAAGGTTCTCTCATAGTGATCTACTCCGAATAGCAGAGCTCCAAGAGGACATTTACGATCTCCGACAAGGCTCACACTCAGTATCTAACTATTACACAGCATTGAAGTCTCTTTGGGAAGAACTCGATAACTTTCGACCCTTCCCCGTTTGTACATGCTCAGCCAAAGTCTACCATCAACAAGATTTTATAATCCGTTTTCTGAAAGGCCTTGATGACCACTTTGTCGTCGTACGTTCACAAATCCTTTTGATGGATCCTCTTCCATTCGTAAACCGAGTTTTTTCCATGGTCATTCAATAGGAACGACAACACTTAACACTAGCACCCATTGAGGAACCAAACACCTTCGTCAACGTCGGACAATCGTTCTATGGCAAAGGACGCGACAGGGGCAGCCCTAGCGGGAATAATCGCATTGGTGGCTCCAACAAACAATGCATCTATTGTGGTCAAACTGGGCACACCATGGAGGTATGTTATTCCAAGCATGAGTATCCCCCTAGTCACCCACGATACCCAGGACGTCCATGATTCCATAATCGTGGTAATTCATCCTCGCCTGTTGTGTTCAACAACGCTGCCCAAGAAGGGGAAACAATGAATCTTTCATCTATCACTCCGAACAACTCTGATGGGCCAGGCTTCAATCTAACTAAGGCCCAATATCAAAGCCTTCTTGGCCTCCTGCAACAGGAAAAGCCTAATCCTAATCCTCATATGTCCGTGGTTTCCTCTCATCCCAAACATGTCAATGTTTCACAAGTGACCAAGTCTAAACCACCTGACTCCACTGATATGCATTTTGGTATCAGTTTTGCTCTCTGCACCAACACACATACTAAGTCCACTATTCCTGACACTCATGCACTTAATAATGTTTCTTGGATTATTGACTCAGGGGCTACTGATCACATTACCTGCTCATTTAATAATTTTTCAAATTTTTCAAAAATTAAACCTGTACACATTAATTTACCCAATGGTTCCATGGTTGTTGCTCATATCTCTGGCACTATTCAACTATCTCCACATTTCATTGTTCATGATGTCCTTTATGTGCCAAACTTCAAATTTAATCTCCTTTCAATTTCCAGGCTTTTATCTTCATTTAAATACACTCTCACTTTTCCTAACTCTCGTTGTCAAATACAAGAAATGAAGTCATTGAAGATGATTGGTTTGGCTAAATTGAAGCATGGATTGTACCACTTGGAGATCAACAAGGATAGTAGTCATGTTTTTCCCAAAGTTTCGTTCATCAATAATTTTTCCACACCCACCATTACCAACACCAACCTTTGGCATTTTAGGTTAGGACACCTCTCCGGAAATCGTCTCAATATCCTTCATACTAATTTTCCTTTTATTTCTAAGCATGTTGAAGAGAATTGTGATATTTGTCACTTAGCTAAGCAAAGACGGTTGTCATATTCTCCCAGTTCTAATAGAGCTTCCAAAATTTTTGATTTAATTCATTTAGACATTTGGGATCCTTTCTCTCAATCCTCGATTCATGGTCACAAATATTTTTTAACTATTGTGGATGATTTTAGTCGTTACACATGAGTTGTGCTCCTAAAATCTAAAGCTGAAGTTAAAACAAATGTTCAAAATTTTATTATCTTAATTGAAAACCAATTTAATATAACCATTAAATGTGTTCGGTCTGACAATGGTCTGGAATTCTTTCAACATGATTTTTTCTCTTTCAAAGGAATTCTTCATCAAACTAGTTGGGTATATACACCCCAACAAAATGGGCGCGTTGAAAGAAAACACCAACACATCCTAAATGTAGCTAGAGCCCTTATGTTTCAGTCCCAACTTCCAAAATATTATTGGTCATATGCCATAAAGCATGTTATTTATCTTATAAATCGCATTCCATCCCCTGTCATTAATAATCAAACCCCTTTCATATTATTATATAAACAAAATCCAGATTTTTCCATGTTAAAAGTTTTTGGCTGTTTATGCTATGCCTCAACACATCTTCCTCGCCAAAAATTTGATGCACGTACTAGACGTGGTGTTTTTTTTGGGTTTTCAAACTGGAACAAAGGGGTATGTTATTTCAGATTTAAATAATAGAGAAATTTTTGTTTCTCGCAATGTTTTGTTCAATGAGTTAGTATTTCCTTTTACAAAATTAAATTATCAGCCCACTCACCAAAGCCCACTACCGCCCAACAACTCTCCTGCTCCTGCTATTAGTTTCATTGATTACACCACTCCCAAAATTCAACCCAACACTGAACCCTCACACTCTTCTGACAATGCTCCTCTTCCTCTCACCCCGTCACCCCCTTCTTCCCCATGCTTCTGTATGCCTTCATCTAGCAGCACCCCAAGCCCGTCAACCTCATCCCCACCACCGATACTGACACCGACACCAAAACCCCAACCAACTCGTTGCTCCACTCGCCCCATCACCGTCCCACCTATCTTGCTGACTACCAATGTCATGCTTGCTCCAGCGTTCCAATCCAGGCTCCCACAAAGCTCAACCAATCATCTGCAAAGAATTTATATCCTGTTCAAAGTTCTGTTGACTACTGTCGCATCTCCCCTTCACATTCTCTTTTTTTAATGAACCTATCATCTGAGCAAGAACCGGCCACCTTCTGTGAAGCCGCAAAACACCTTTGTTGGTAGGAGGCCATGAAATATGAGATTCAAGCCTTAGTCCGAAATCAGATCTGGGATATTGTCCAAACACCACCCAATGTGCAGCCAATCGGGTGCAAATGGGTGTATAAAATTAAGCGTGGTCCAGACGGTTCTATTGAGCGCTATAAGGCGTGTTTGGTAGCCAAAGGCTACTTTCAAATTGAGGGCATTGATTATCTCAAAATTTTCAGTCTGGTTGTAAAAATGAGCACCATTCGAGTTGTCCTGGCAGTAGCTTCCATCAACCATTGGCACCTACAACAACTTGATGTCAATAATGCTTTTCTTTATGGGGATCTTATGGAGGATGTATACATGATCATCCCTCCGGGCCTCCATGGATACCATTCCTCTCAATGTTGCAAGTTAAAGCGATCATTATATGGGCTGAAACAAGCAAGCCGCAAATGGTTCGAGAAACTGTCCAACCTGTTACTCTCATGTGGATACCAGCAAGCTCATGCCGATCACAGTCTTTTTACTAAGGCATCAGGTTCTACCTTCACAACCTTAATTATTTATGTGGATGACATTGTTCTGGCTGGGAACTCACTTGCTGAAATTGATAACATCAAATATATCCTCAGCTCCAAATTTCATATCAGGGACTTAGACAAACTAAAATATTTCATAGGGATTGAAGTGGCTCATTCTTCATCTGGTCTTTCCCTCTGTCAAAGGAAATATTGTTTAGACTTAATTCAAGATGTTGGTCTTATAAGTTCTAAATCTTGTTCCACACCAATGGACAACTCCCTTCGCCTTCATCAGGATTCCAGCAAGCCCCTTGTTGATCCCTTACCTTATAGATGCTTGGTTGGCCGACTAATTTATCTTACTAGTACCCGTCCAGATATTGTCTTTGCTACTCAACAATTGAGCCAATTCATGGTTGCCCCCACTCAATCTCATTTTCAAGCAGCTCTGAGAATTGTCCGCTATCTAAAGAGTTGTCCTGGGAAGGGTCTTATCTTTAGTAGGTCCTCTTCTTTTCAGTTGTCCGGCTTCAGTGATGCTGACTGGGCCACATGCATTGACACCTGACGTTCTATCACTGGGTATTGTTTCTTTATTGGCAGTTCCCTAGTTTCATGGAAAACCAAGAAACAATCCACTGTTTCTAGATCATCTGCTGAGGCGGAATATAGAGCTCTAGCCTCAGCAACTTGTGAGCTCTAATGGCTACTCTACTTGCTTCAAGATTTACGGGTTTCTCCTCCACGACGTGCTGCCTTATATTGTGATAGTCAAAATGCACTTTACATTGCTGCAAATCTTGTGTTTCACGAAAGGACCAAACATTTGGAAATCGATTATCACTTGGTTTGGGAAAAGCTACTTTCTGGTCTTATGCACCTTCTTCCGATTTCCTCGTCACATCAGCTCGCTGACATGTTCACCAAAGCTCTACCTCCCAAACCGTTTCGATCAAATATTTCCAAGCTTGAGCTTCATGACATGTTTGAACCTCCAGCTTGTGGGGGGCTAAAAGAAGAATCAGAGCACAAATTAATCAAATAAAAGAAGATTATCAAACCTGATTGCACAATCTTCCCTTTTTGTTGTACAGCCTTACCATAGTTGTCCTTTTCCTTTTTTTGTCTCTACTACATTCTGTTAAAGCATTTGCTGTGCTGCAACTTTTCAATGGTTTTATGTCGTGCTGCATGTACCTTTTCGGTTATTCCCTTTTGTCATCTTTCATTTCTTTAGGGTACACAGATTGTATATATATTTCATTTCATTGATCAATCAAACATACACAAAAGAGGATTTTTCCTACATTTGTCTTTGAGTCTTCCTTTCTCTATCTTTGTGTTTTTCTATTATAAGACATAAAAGTAATATAAATTATATCTTAAAATATAAAGATTATAAATAAAATTTATAATACTATATAATTTTTTAATTGCTTTTTTATCAGTTAATATTTTTATAATAATATATTTCTTTCATTTTCCTAGTATAATTAATAAATTAATTAATATAAATTATTATTTTTTATATATTTTTAATTATAAGTCTCTTTTTTTCTTTTTAAAATATTTTCAATACATGATTTTTACCTTATCTTAAATTATAAATAAAATTATCATTTCTAAAAAAATATATTTAAATGTGTGTTTAAAGGTATAGAGTTTTACCACTAATAATAACAATAATTATGTTGATAGAAAATTATTTAAATGTTTCAGATCACATAACTAAAAACATCTTCAATTAAAATTATTTATTAAAATATTTAAAATAAAATATTAGTTATTTGAACTGAAAAATAAAAAGTGATAAATTTTATTTTATAGACTCATTAAAGAGATTATAAAAATAAATAAATAAATAAGGAATGATTTTTTAAAATTTTTTAATTATTTAAATAAAATAAAATTAACAATAAATTATTTAAAAATAGTGTATAATTATAATTTTTTCTTTTTCATTTTTCATTTTCTTCACTATTTCCTTCCTTCCTTGCCTTTTTTATTGATCCCACAGTTTGGATGTAACAACAACAGGGGTGATGAAGAATGCATTTTTAGGGTTGAGACCCTCACTCTCAACCCCCCTTTCTCACCCTTTTCCATTCCCATATTCCCTTTCCCTCAAACCCCATCCTTTCTTTCTGTGCTCAAAACCACACCCACTACTCGCATTTGCAAACAAAGAGAAAGATTTGAAGGAACATGGAAACACACAACAAGCTAAACCACCCAATGGTTCCAAGGAACAGCAACAAGAGAACGATGATGGTTGGAGTAATCAAAGACTACCCCTTTTGGGTTTCAATTGGAGGACCCTTTTGGACCCCGACCCTAACAACGTCCTTGCACTTGGCTTAACGGGCATTCTCACATGGGCAAGTGTGCAAATCCTCTGGCAGTTCTTGTTCATATCTTTCGCCATTCTTGTTGCTGCCCTCAAGTACTCTTTTGTCGCTGCTCTGCTTGTGTTCATTCTCATTGCCCTTCTCTGATGAATTTAGTTTCTGCTTTCTATGATTCTATTAGATATTGTGGAAGGTGTGACTTTTTGAAGGTACCCATGTGACTGAATGATAATGTAAAAAGTAGTTAAGTAAAAGTCCGACAAACTTATCATTGTTGCTCTTCTTGTTTTCATTCTCTTTGCCCTTCATTGGATTGCTTATAGGTCTACTTCATCGCAATTTTTTAATTTGGCAAATTTAATCATGTCCACCGTTGTTGGATGATGCAATTTTCTTTTGCATTTTAATAATTGTACATTGGGGATTCTTTTTGGTTTTGCTTACCTGTTATGGTGTTTGATAGGGTGGTGTTCATGTATTATGTGATGGATAATTTGTCTATGATAAGTACTCAAGGATTTGAGGAACTCAATTACCTACCATGAAAGCATCTGAGACGCACTGTTAGGGGTGGTGCTATGATAGAAACTTGGATATTTGGAGTGCATAAGTCACACCTGGAGTATTTAAGTGCTTAGATCTCCCTCCTTAATGATTATCTTTTGATGGTGGGTTCCCAATCAGTTCACCAATTATGGTGTTTGAGAGGAGGATAATGAAGAAAATTCTAATTTTAGTTTTTTCTTAACTGTACCTTTTGTCGGAATTACTGGCATCTGTGGTAATTTGTTTTTGTTATTAACTTTCATAGTTACTGAAATTGGGACAGTGATTCGATGTTCATGTGTAATGTGATTGAGAACTGTTATGGTGTCTGATTGGATGATGTTCTTGTGGGTGTTTTCTTATTACTTTGCCTTTGGCCTTCTTTGAATTGCTTCTAGTTTATATTCATCATCTTCTTCACCACCATTGAACATTGAGGTTTTATTTTATTTTTTTCTTTTACAATTGTGGGTTGGGGTTGTTGTCTGGTTTTCTTTATCACTTCTAATGTTTGTTCTGATGATGTTAATGAGATGGAGAATTGAAGTGTTTTTTTTGTTAGAATGCAAGTATGCAGTAACATCACATGTTATTTGCTATGCAGCCAATAACATCAACAATATGTTATGTAATCTCATGGACATATCATAGTACTTTTGTCATTTTTATTTCGGCAATTTGTTATTTATGTATTTGGAGAAATTATGATTTGAAAGACATGGAAGCGAGCTTGAATGCTTATATGGAGATGTAGAAATTACGTCACTCTGACTTGTAGGTAAAGACGCTGTAAATGATCAACCCTCCTTTTAAAAGTTTTCGTGGTGAAGTTCATATTCTTATATTTTTAATAATGTAACTGTGAAACCCTTGCTTCACATTTTTAAAAGTAGTTTTGTCCGCATCGAAGGAAGAGTCTAGGAATAAAGGGAAATAGAAAAAATGATTAAATATGTTTCTAATCTTTGGCAATATCTTAAAATTCCATTTTAATATTATGAATTTTTTAATCTCATGATGAAGCATACGTCACATGTTGAAAAATAATCTTGTATTAAGAATATTTTAAGCTTTAATCGGAAAAACAAATTTCCTAATTAATAGTTATTATAATTATCAAAATCCCGAATGTAAAGAGTAAAAATAATATTAATCTTTTATAGAGATTTAAACAAATTATCAAAATAATTTAAGAGGAAAAACAATTTTGTTCTCCCAAAAATTCATTTTACTTGAAAGTTCCATTTTCAAAATCCATTGTGAAAAGATTGATGCATTGTTTTGTAACTGTTCAATTGCTATTGATACTTCAATATATAGTTATCAAGCTTAACTTTTTCTTTTAATGAAATCATGACGTATCATTTTCTTTTACCTCATCCTGATTTATTTTGTTTTGTTATTTTTTAAATAAAATCCTGTAATATTATATTTTATTTTACATTTTAACAAATATAAACGAAGAATTTGAAGATCTTATAAAACAAATTTTCTTAGATGTATGTTTAGACGACATATTTACAAAATAATTAAATAATACTGTTCAAGCAAAGATCTCATTGTCTTAACCTCAAGTTAATGTATGTATAAATTAGAATCCCAGTGTTATATTATTATTATTATTATTATTATTATTATTATTATTATTATTATTATTATTATTATTATTATAAGGTGTACCCAAAGCAAATAGCAACATATATGGATTGTGAGTAATGCTTATATAAACAGCATTTACAACAACAAAATGACAAGTTACTTCATAAAATGGTAGATTTAGTTCTTCAGCAAGGCCCTGTCGAATCAAACATACACACAAATCATCAATCTGATATGCCATAATCACATTTGAGGAATATATTTTAGCATAACTAAAAGCAGTGTAGGGGTAGTTTTTGAGTATTGATTGGGATTACCTCTCATTTAGGCTCTGTTGAGCGAGAGAAAAAGAAAGAATTTTGTGAAATCCATGTCTCAATTACACAGCAGAGACTCTTATGTAGAATAGTAAATAAAAACTATCACAATAATTGTCTTTAGATCTTTCAGCTGTGTCATTGCCTCGACTGTCAGAATTCTGTCGTAGCTTGGGAAAGGAATTGTGGGTTCCTTGAGTATTTCCTGATCTTTCCTTTTATGTTTCCAGTATGTGGGAATTTCCTTTCATTCTAGAGTGAGATTAATGCACTCTTTTTTAATTCATTTAGAAGATTGAAGGTTATGGTTACTATTGTCTGATTGCTGTTTTTATTAGTATATTGAGTAGAATAAATTACTTGACCTGATACTTGAATAATGAGACTATCTCCGGACTAATATTTTGGACTTGGATCTTATGTGCTTACGTATCAATTGGTGCTTACATTGGGAGTCAAACCATGGAAAAGTCCACCCATAGACTAGATTAAAGTGTAAATCAAATACAGAGAAATAAGTGAAGCTCTCAAAGAGGGAAAAAAAAGACCACCATGGAGTCAGTATTGATATAGTAAAAACTGTCATGAATCCTTGGTTCTTAAAAGGAGGGATAATGTCAGAAGTATCATATGGAGTATAGAATACACTGTACTTCAGCTTTAGACATTCCCACTTAATAAATTAATCTTTTGGGTTGGATTATCCTCAAGTGTTCATGTCCTAATAGTTTGACACAGAAGGAACTAGGAGAAGACCGTTAGTAATAAAGTAAGAACTATATGTCATTACTGACTCCCTCTAAGCTTGCTTTGTGGCTAATTGTTACTCTAATTTCTCTTAAATAAGTAAGCCAAAATTCCAGGGAAACATTAAAAAGTTAAGTTCAGAAAAATCACGAAGGACTCAATCCATTTGCATATTTGGTGCAAATTATGTTCATAAATGATTTTGAATTTGAGATTGAACATGTATTACGCTGAAGATAAAAAACCAACAAATTGCAGCACATATATAATTCAAATTAGAAAGCACCTGACCTTAATAAATTGCAAAGCCATTTATTTTCTTGTTGAATATTGCCGTTTCTAATCATTAGCTGAAGACTAACAGTAAGTACGAACTTGTTCACCCTTTAGCACCAACAATTATTCGCTGCAAACATTTCATAATAAAGGAGAAAGTAGGTCGTCTCCAGGGTTCCCTACAGCACCAACAGATAATAAATAGAATGATTTGAAGGAGTATGAAATGTGGGCTGCTACTATAATTTCAAATTCAACACTAAGACAAGTGAAGTTTGACTTCTCTACTGGATTTATGATATCGAGTCTCTGCAGTGCTAGATTAAATAAAATCTCAACTGTTTAATTTTATTCAACCATAATCATTGCTTTGTAATTAATGCTGATCAGTATAACAGTAAGATTATTTATTTAATCTACTTACGAGGCCCAGGAGAGCTCAATCAAGGTAGCCACATCAGGATTCACATGCCTTGGAATTTCTAGCCTTTTGTCCATAAAACCAACAGCTGCAACAACCTACACTAGTGGCATCCCCATTATCAAACTAAACGCCATGTGATGCATATTATAAATCATCATGCAAAGAGAGGCTACTGGAAAAAATTCTTCATTTAAACCAGCTAACAGCCTCAGTCTCTTATTTTAACTGAGTGATATTCAGCTTAGGAGTAACATTTTTTTCTAAAAGAATAATTTAATAAGATGAAGGGAAAAAGTAACAAGGTAAGTTAAGGAATCCTCCTCAGAAAAATACAAGAGAGAAAGTAACAAAGAAAAAAAGAGAAATTCATTGGAACAAAGCTGCTCAAGCCATCAACATCTAAGTCAGGGAAACTCCAGAAATAAAGCCAATAACAAAGTCATAGTCACTTAAGAAAAAAAAGAAAGTGGTCAATCGAGCCAATATATCCCTATAAGAGATAATAAGATTATACTTTTCCCATTCAATCCTTGGTAGTCTATGAATATCTGAATCCCTACATTCTTAAGTGAGAATTCATTTGTTCTTTTCCTGAAATTTCTTACTGTTCTCTCTCTCTAAACCTTATCTCTGTTTCTATTAAACCTTTTACCACTATTTTATTTTAAAATGTTACTCTCAATTTTAATTCTGCTAGGGGAAAGCTATTACAACAAACCAAGCATTATAACATCAAAATGGAAAATTTGTAGGACTAGACGTATGCAAGTAATCCGACATTAGGACTGGATAGGCTCTTCTTGACACTATATTAAATTGGACATCATAGTCTTACAATTTTCCAAGTCTTACAATTTAGCCAGATAGATTTCTAGTTAATGTGAGACGTCATAACACCCTTCCTCCTTGTGCCCAAGGATGGAACATCTATGGATGACCCAACATTAAGACTACATATTAATATTATATTAGAAATGGACCGAGCTAAACTTAATCTCCAAAGTTAGCTTGGGGTATGATTGCCCAAGTCTCAGATTTTGTACCATGTGAGATATCCTACTATATACCAACTTATATAGGAGAGAATTTTACTAAAAATTAATTATAGTTAATAAGGAAATGACTACTTTCGTAGAATAGGCAAAAAGGCAAAGAATTTTGGACCCTTTTCGAATAGTAGAATCTGTCCCTATGAAGCACCGACTCTAACATGGACATCGGGACACAGCTAATGTCCAAAATATTGGACACGCTATGTGTGTGTGTTTGAGGAAAGATCAAGCTGCTCAAAGCGTATTCATTTATTCTATCTACTATATCCAGTATTCTAGAAATTAGCTAAATCAAAAGTAGTGTTGTAAAGCAAATACCTGTGAAGGATTTAAATGTCTCCATGGTTGTTCCAGGGTTACAAGTTCCCACAAGATTACACCAAAGCTGAATACATCACATTTTTCGTTTGACAGTTCACCTCTGATGACTTCAGGTGCCATCCATTCAGGCTGTCATCATGTTCAGAAAGGGAAAAAGGAATAAATTATAATGTCAAATCATCAGAGAACTATTGTATTTAAGAAATAAAAAAATCTGAAACACGGATGCTTCAGTTAATACTTACAGTTCCGGCTGCGGTTTTAGATGAAAGAAATGTGTTTGCCTTTGTACGTGAAAGACCAAAGTCACAGACCTGAGGTAAATATTTTAAACAAAATGAAAACACCCAATTATCTGACAGTTCATATATATCCATAAATGTACATGTGAGCAGTTTGTGAATGTCTGCTTGGGATTTTTCGCCTAAGCAAAATCCTTCATTTTTGGTAGGGATGGGAGTGTTGGTACAGCAGGTATTACCAATCCAGGCACTATTAAGCATTAATAAATAGGTACTGCCAAACGGGGAACAATTAGCAAAACCTTTCAGCCATTAACAGACATGGCTAGAGATACATCCTCAAATTTAGCTCATGATTTATAGATTGAAGGAACAAAGGAGAGGTATAAAATAACAGGGAAAGCCCTTTCTTAATTTTATTTTATAATGCTGTTTCTTGCTAGGTCATAAACGACGTTGTTGCTTTGATATCATGTTGAAAATATAGGACCCTTATGGTAGGGGAGAAGGAAAGGTGAATATAGATAATAAAATTGATATTGGTTTCATGTGATGATAAGATGCGACAGAAAACAAAAACAAAGAACTAACCCTATTTATATTAATTCTAAATTCCCAATCCTAATGACATAAGGAAGCATGTAATGAAATATAATGGAAGGGGAGAAAGAAAAGGTGGAATATTTAGATACTGAAAATCTGAAATTGATATTGGTTTGAGACAAGGCGCCAATCTTATTTATACTATAATACTAATGATAAAGTACCAATCCTAATTAAATGAGGAAGAATGGTATGAAATATGAAAATATGCCCAAGATATCATATAAGATGAACATGTTTTTCAAATACTCCAACAGAGTAACAGTTACCTTAACAGTGAATGAATTATCAACCAAAAGATTTGGAGACTTCAAATCTCTATGAACAATGGGAGGTTTCATTTGATGAAGATAATTCATTCCGCTTGCCTAGACAAACAATATGAACAGTTCAGTCTACATTATGCCTAAAAATACAGAAGTAGTAAAAATAACAGTTTTAATCATCGAAGATATACCACATCATAAGCCATACATAAACGATGTCTCTCGCTAATTGATGATCCAACATTGCCCATATGCAGAAGTTCAAACAAACTGCCTCTGCAATTCAAGAAAATAATTAGCATAAGAATATCATACTCAGCCAAAATCATTTCCAATTAAACACATAAGCAAGGAGCACAATGCTCATTGTGCAGGAAATTATTGTACCTAGATAAATATTCTGTCACTATTGATAACTTTGGGGGTTGAATAACTGCACCCATAAGGAGTACAATATTTGGATGCCGTAGGCGCTTCATGATTGAGACCTATGAAATAAACTGAGAATGAATAGCAAGCAATCAACGAGGACAAAATAATTTATATGTGCAAAACTAATATAAAAATGTTCCCCAACCTCATTTAAAAAGATAAAATGAACATAAATATACTTATTAAAAACAGTAGTAATGCATACCTCCTTTAGAAATTCTTCAAATCGTCCAGGATCAAAACCTTGCACTTTAAGAATCTTCACAGCAACATCCTAAGTGAAGATAGTTAACATTTAGTAATTGGACTGTGATTGACCAACATATAGAAAGAGAGGAAAGAAGCAGAAAGAAAGAAAAAAAAAAGGTGAACAATCCGCTGTTAGGCCATGAGTTTTTCCCTGGAGGCACTGGTCTGACTTTATCCCTTTAACTTTCTCTGCCGGATAAACAATAGCCACTGCAACATTTTCTTTCTCTCCTTTCGAGCATTTTTTTTGTTCTCTGGCAGTTGCTGCAACTCCAAGCATTTTTTTGCTCTTTGACAGCTGTCGCCCCCCTTAAAAACATTTTTTCTCTCTGATAGTTGTTGCCCCCTTCGAGTATTTTGCTATCACGGTCACCACATCCTCTAAGCATATTTACTCTCCAGCAGTAGTTACCATGCCCTCTAAGCATTTTTTTTTCTCTACGACAAGCCACTGTTGTGCTCTCTGAACATCTTTGCTCTTTGTTAGTCACCATGTCCTCTACGCATGTTTACCCTCTGGCTACCAGTCATGCTCTCCAACAGTCACTATGACCTCCAAGAAACCAAAAGGTTAAACTTGTCGATAGTTTCCTGGCCACAGGAGCTGGAAAAGGAACTATTGTCCTTACTCCTTTAACTCTTAAAGATATCCCATGTGTCCGTAATTTGTCATACAATCTTGTTTCTGTTATGGCCTTGTCGATTAGGACGTCCTAATGTCCGATATTTAAAACATTTGTTTCTCAGCTATTTTCTAATAAAGATTAAAGTGTGAATCTTGTGAATTGTAAAAACATCATCTTGTTAATTCACATCTCGAGTAACAACTATTTTTGGAAAAATACTAGCTCATTACTTTTATTGAGAATCACACTAGGGTCAGTTGGGTATTTCTTTCACACGAAAAATTTGATGTTGCTCTTGCGTTCAAACATTATAATATGATTAAAACTCAATTTCAAACTCTGAGCAAAGTTTATCGTGGTTATAATGGCAAGGAAATTTTAACAACATTTTGGATTTTTTTTGTTATCAAAGGCATAGTGCATCAAAGTTCTTGCACTAATACTCCCAACAAAAAGGGGGCAGAACAAAAAAACAAACAACTCCTTGAAGTTACGAGGGCTCTAACTTTCCAAAACGAAAGTCCCTGAAGTATCTTTGAGGGAGGGAGGGCTATTTTAGCTACCACATACTTGATAAATAGACTACCTACTAGAATTTTGAACTTTCAAACTCCCATGCAAACATTCACTAGATGTTTTCCTTATTCACGAATTAAAACTATCATTTCCTTAAGGATTGTTGGGAGTGTAGCTTTTGTTCCCAGCCATGACCCCAAGTGTTCCAAACTTGATCCTAAAGCCCACATATGCATTTTTGTTGGCTATCCTCCCAACCAAAAATGGTATAAATGTTTCCAGTTTCAGAGAATTTTTGCGTCAATGAATGTTAATTTTCTTCAAGGACCCCATATCTAGTGAGTCTGATCTTCAGGGGGAATATGGTAATGAAAATGGTTCTTTAGATATACATTATTTATGCCTTGATTTTGAGGTAGAAAAATACGAGAAAACAAATGAGTTAAATATTCCTAGTGACACTGGGCAGATTCCAGCAATACCATCTCCAAATGAACATATTGATTCAATAGAGACAAATGTGAGATGGCACAAAGTTTTGGTTATACAAAAGAACAGGCAGAAAAAAAAGGGGAGACATTATTCACAGGGGCACCAATCATCTCCTGGATGGATTTTGAAATTCATGATGATTCTCCAATGTTGTTGACAACAATTCCTCAGGTAATTCTCAATTAAACACTTCTAGTCATGATAACCTTCCCATTACTCTTAAAAAATGTGTTAGATCTTACACAACAAAACATCCTTCATCAAATTTTGTTTTGTAAAAATATTTCACCCTCCTATTAAAAAGATTCACTAGGTTTGTAGAAGGCCTGGGTTAAAATCAAGGTCAATCAAATCACACATTGTTCATTAAAAATTCTATCATGTTTCAATTTTAATCGTCTAGGTAGATAACATAATATTGAAAAGAGATTATTTAATTGAGATGAACGTATTGAAGCAAAATCTAGCCAAGGAATTTGAGGTTAAAGACCTTGGACAGCTTCAGTACTTTCTTGGAATGGTATAGTCTCAGAACGGAAGTACATCTTAGATCTCAAGAAAGAAACTGTAATTACGGTTTGCTGGCCTTCAGGCACTCTTGTATAAAAGTAAAAACAAAAGCCGGTGTTCTGTGCACTTAGGTGGAAACCAAAGACTGGTAGGGAGACTTATGTTTATCATTAAAATATGTAAAGAATCAAAGAAAAAAATGCTTACTGAACCACGCCAGTCTGCACGAAGGACAGTTCCAAACGACCCTGAAAAACAATTATTATTGTCCTTATTTCATTGTTTCAGGGTACATATTCTCAAAACGATAAATAGATAGCTCGGGTAGAACCAGTAAATTTTTAGTGTATACAGCATGCGTGAGAATTCAAATATAAAACCTGTCCCAATATTTTCCTTCAAAATAAGTTCACTCCATGGAATATCCAGATCCTCTTCGTCGAGATCAACTTCATGACTTGGATAATCCATACTTGGCTGGTCTTCTTCATCGAAAGACCCATATTCCTCTGCACCAGGAACAGCATAAGAAAATCAAATGTGGTGAATCCGATGCCACTACAAATAGAAAACAGAGCATACAGAGCATTTTGAGCTTATTTATTAAAAAGATATCTGGTAATCTATATATCAGTCAGTTCCTGTCATATGCTCTTTGAGAAAGACATGGTTCCACTCTTTTTCTACTTTTCAATTGGGATACAATAAATGATTCATTCTTACTCGAAGCAATCAGATGGCTGCTTCCACCAGCATAATTTGCACCCAGAGCTTCAGTTCGCCGAGGATCCATTGTGTCATTGTGATTAACAGAAGATCCTGTCATGATGGAAAGTAGTAATGTTAGACCTGTATGAACATGTGGACAGAAGCCATCTTAATCTCTTAAGACTCCTCATACAACCTTTATATCCTGAAATTATGATTATATTATTTCTCCCTAACCACAAAACAACGAACTATCACACTATATAGTAACAATCCCGCATCACCTATATTTGTCATAATACAATTATTGTAAAACTGTTAGGTCAGGTTATTAGTTAACAACAATTTAAACATATTTTAGGAAGGTAGTTATTCAGTTTACTCAATATATTGTAATTTGTGTACAGTTTCATAATTTGGCAAAATTCACTCATGTCCTAATCTTTTTTGTTCAAGTTGATATTAAAGCTCCCATTCTACCTGACTCTGATTTCAGAAATCAACCCGACAATCATAATAGCCACCTTAATTTATTGCTGCTTTGTTTTAGTTCTTTTGTCCATTTTGTTGCACTTAATTCCATCCTTAGACACAAAATCCACCATTGTCAAATCTTCAACCACCAGTCCCAACCACCTTGGTGACCGGAGATTGCACTAAATTGTTGGAATTATGTATGAGTTGAAATCCCACGTTGAAAAATATGAGAATGTTAAGTAATATATAAGTGAGAGAGACCCAAAAACTTAATATCTTAAGATTTTAAGTTAATGGTAGTATCATTGATATAATTAACTTATGTCTCATTCATGAATATCTCTCATTATTAACCCCCCTTGTAAATACAATACTAGTATGATTGCAATCGTATGTGATGGCCCTGACCCTGGTTTGTGGATCCATGTAGTGAGTCCTGTTGTGAATGACTGTCCCATTTTTTCTTGAGGTGAAAATGATCTCATTTTTTCTTACATGATTGGCTCGTAGTCCCATTTATGAATATATTTCGATGTAACCCTTCTCGCAAATACTCAACATGTTGTCCCTTGTTTCAACACTGAGCAACGTCCTCGAAACATCATCAACTCCTCCAACTTTACTCTTATAAAAGTATTGAACCTTACCATCCCAATTCATTTAAATACTCGGGGGATCTACATTCCTCTCAATCATTTGTAGCACCAAATGGTAGGAGGGTAAAAAAGGCTTAACTGACTCAAAAGTCTAAGAAATAGGCTAAGCTATGCTAAAATATTTGTAGCCTATTTTGGCCTAACCTGTTTAAATCATGATCTACATGGACTTAGTTCAAACTATCCTGTATACTTATAAGCGGGTCCATTTTATAAAATAATAATAATTTTGTAAATAAAATTAAAATTAAAATTATTTTATTAAAAATATAAATGTATTATAAATTAATTTGATAAAAAAATTCACTTATTATAAGAGTAAATATAAAAATAAGTCTCTAATATCCACTTATTTTATGATCTAATGGTTAGCATAAATTACTATTTTAGATTAATAAATTACTAAAAAATAAATGATGAATTGATGACTATACATACATCACATTGTTATTTCTCGAGAGACCGATTAAAAAATGGATTTAGACTTAACTCAAATTCACAATTGATTTGTAAGACGAGATTTGCACGTACTTATATACTATATTTTAGTCATCTATATACGATATGAGATTTCAAACACATCTCCTCATACACATGTCGAGTGTTAAATTATATATTTATGTGTTTTCATATTTGTCTTTGATTCTATATAATATATTTATGTGTTTTCATATTTGTCTTTGATTCTATATAGATTTGTCTCATCAACTATTGTGTTCTTTTATGTAACCATTATTGTTTTACCTTTTTAAGTTTGTCTTTCTTAGTTTCTCCTAATTGTTTTGTTGTAGTATTTATTTTATTTATTGGCCTTTTTTATTGTAATTGAGAGTCATTTTTAAAGAAGAAGATTTTTTGGATTGTGCTTCATTACAAGGTTGATCGTAACCTGAAGATGTTTATTTTCTGAAATTATAAAATGTCTACAAGTGAGACTCACTCAAATTCTTTTGATGCTAATGCTGCTACATCTTCCACTCCTAAAAATAAAAATGTTACATGAAATAGAACTGATATTAGGTGGAGACGTGGAGTAGATGTTTTGGGTAATAGAAAAAAAGTGAAATGTATTGTAGAACAATGCCCATTACTTTTATTTGATCTTTGAAGATTTTAAAGGTCCACCATGTAACTATCAAGAAGGAAAAATAAATAAAAATATCAGTACTTATATTTGTGGTAGAACAATGCTCATGTTAGCATGTTGAAGAAATTCACAAATGTCATGATTTATTTGAACCTTACTTGTCTTCATGAATTTGAAGCATCATTAATGAGTATGTTTAGTTTTAAATAGTGAAAAATAAGCAAGTTTGAATGTACCTATATGCTTGAAAGTTGTCTTTCTTAGACACAAAACCTACAATGAGTTTCATATAAGGAGATAGGCTATGCAAAAAAGAAGATTAAATTCAACTTTCATAATATTAAGAAAAAGTAAAACTTCTAAACCTCTCTCATGTAAAATTTAATTACCTATTTTGTGTAATTAACTTCTAATATAGCATAATTGATATTTTCATAACTATGAATCTATTTGGAAAATCATAGATGAGGTGGAATAATCAACTTTATAGGCTTTGCATGCAAATGTATTATCTTAATCCCTTGTTTGCACTATGAACCTAATTTTAGAAATGATGATCCTAAGGGAAAGAGAGGTTGTATATATGTATGAAAAGATTGATTAATGATGTTGCAAAAAGGAAAAAAAAAATCAATTTGCAACTTGTTGACTTTCATCATGCTAAAGGAGTTTTTTCTGTGTAAAAGGATTGTAGGAAAGTTATTTTCCAACGGAACGGTGGGAAATATTTATGTTAATTATTTTTTAGGGGACTAACAGCAGGGAGATTCTCACAAATAGGTCATGAGCCAACCATATAGGAGAATATGACACTACCTTCAATCAAAAACCTTAAGGCAATAGCTTATGGGTCTTTTTCACTTATAAGTTACTCAACTTTCTCATTTCTATCCAATATGGGACTCCAAACTTATACTTGAATTCTCAACATCTCCCCCTCAAGTGTGATTCTCTTTCACATTGGTATACCCCCGACGAACCATCAGCTCTGATACCATTATTAGGTATTTCCGAGGGGGCTAACAGCAGGAAGATTCTCACAAATGGGTCATGAACCAACCATATAAGAGAATATGACACCACCTTCAACCCAAAACCTTAAGGCAATAGGTTATGGGTCTTTCTCACTTATAAGTTACTCAACGTTCCTATTTCTACCGAATATGGGACTCCAAACTCACACTTAAATTCTCAACAGTTTAGGGATGGAACTCTAGAGTTAAAGAGGTTTGTTATTCGAATTTAAAGCTTGAATGTAGCTCTTTTGGGTGTGAGCGTAATTAGAGCTTATTTAAAATGGTAATTCAAGTTTATCAAGTTATTTGAGGTTTTTAAGTTTCTTCATATGGTTTATATAATTATTAAAATTGAATGTTCAATTATAGGTTCATATAAATGAAGAAATTATTTACCCCAGAAAAACATGAATGATTTGGTTTGTGTTGTGTAACTTGAAGTTGAAAATAAACAAATTAGAAAAATTTTATTGCTCTCTCATTTGATTATAGGGAGTCTAACGATGAATGGATAACTAACAAGAGAGACAATGTTGAGGTGGAGCAAGTTCAAGTGAAAGGTGATGGTAGAAAGGTTGACTTAGTTGGAGCAAAGTCAGATGATACAAGTCTAGTTGCACTTGATCTTGATAATATAGATTTTTATGCAAATATCAATGCACATTTCTCACTTGAGAAAGAGCTTCTTGATGTTGATGAAAATCATGGAGATGATTTCATTAAAGGATTAGATGAAGTCATATAAACTTGAAGACGTTTGTGCTTTTTAGTTATTTAATTGTTATCTTAACACTATAAGAACTTATATTTTCTTAGTGAATTGTATGAATTTATATATTTTGGTGTAGTTTTAACTTATATAGTTGTCATCATACACTACTAAACTTAACTATTGCTTACTATTTTACTTAATTATGATATATTTCATATGAAGTAGAATCTTACAAGTCTACAAGTCGATTCTATAAAAATTCAATAAGTCTACGTAGACTCTCAAGTATGATATCTTGCTTGCAAGTATGGTAATGCAAACTCAAGCTAGCATGCAAAAATATGAACAAAAGCGTATAGGGAGAATAAAGTCTCCATACTATGAGCGTGAGGGAGATTATTTGTTTATGTATAAAGCAAGGATGCAAGGTGGTCAAAACACTCACCAAGAAAAGATTATCAAACCAATTGTGAGGATTCCAAAATTTTTTGGTGAGTAATCCTGAATTGTAATTTGAGTGGAAAACAAAGGCAGATCAAATTTTTTATGTGTATAATTTTGAGAACTTTACAGAAGTTAAACTTGTTGCTCTTGATTTTAGAAATATACTTTGGTATGGTGAAATCAAATTCAAAATGAGGTACTGAGTGGTAAGAGGTTAGCCACTACTACATTGCATGATTTACAAGTTTGTATGAAATAAAGATTTGTACCTTTTTACAAGAAAGAATTATATCTTAAGTATCAGAGACTTGTCAAAGGGACAACGAATGTAGATGAGCATTTTTAAAAAATAAGAGATCATTATGTTTAAAGCTAAAGTGGTGAGCATGGAAGTCGTCATGACTAGGTTCATACATGCACTTTATAGGGAAATTCAAGATGTTGTTAAGTTACATGATTACTGTTCTTTGACAAATTTGATGCATCAAGCTTGAAAGGTAGAAATGCAGTTCCAAAGAAGGGGAGGATACAAAAAGAGTTTCCAAAATCATTCCCAACATTAAAGCTCTTGGAAGGATACAACTAAGGCAAAATTTGATGAATCAAAACTGAAAGTCAAAAGGCAAAGTAAACCTTCTCATTCTAATTCCAATTTTTAGCAAGGTATATCTTCTAAACTTCCTTCAAGATCTAGGTTTACTAAAGGTTTCCATGTTTAGGACATGGCCATACTGCTAAGTGTCCTACTAAAAGGAACATGATTTTGTAGGAAGGAAAAGAAATTTTAAGTGAACATTCTTCTTCCTCACCTACTATTAGTGATAATGAGTATAGTCCTCCTTATTAAGAAGACTTGTTGATGGTTAGGCATACGTTGAAACAAAATACTAAAGATTTTGATGAAACTCAGAAAAATATTTTTTGTACAATATACCTAATCAATGACAAATTGTGTACTGTCGTTATTAATGGTAGAAGTTCTACAAAAGTGACAAATAAGATATTTGGTAGAAAAACTTGATTTGTCTACTCTTCATCATACTAATCCGTAGAAGTTACAATGGCTAAATAAAATTTACTGTTTCTTTTAGCATTGGAAACTATATAAGGATGAGGTTTTATGTATTTTGGTGCCTATGGAAGCAAACTATATCTTACTTGGAGGGCGATGGCAATATGATAGGAAAGTTTACCATGATGACCTACGCAACAAATTTTATTTTTCTTTTGATTATATGGGTAAGAAAGTGACTTTGAAAACCATTAACACCTAATTAAGTCAATGAACATCAAATCCAGATAAAAATCAAAAGAGAACAAGAAATACAAGGTGAAGGTTGTGAGCTTTCTATAAAAAAAAAAGGAAAAACAAGAAGAAAAGAACAAAATCTACATGACATCAAAAATGGTTGAAAAGATCCCGCAAATGACTACCACCAATAAGAGCATCAAGTGGCCTTGATTCCTAAATCATCAATTACAAATAGGCCAACATATAAGACAGATCAACAAGAGACTAAGGAAATTCAAACTCATGTTGAAAGACTTATGTATAAGAGATGGGTGAGAAAGCATGAGCCCATCTACCATGCCTGTAATTTTAGTTCCTAAAAAAATGGGACTTGACGTATATGCAAAAACCGTCGTGCTATAAATAATACTACTCTTAAGTATAGATATTTAAATATTTTATACCTAGGTTAGATGATATGCTTGATAAACTTCATACATTTAAAATATTTTCAAAATAGACTTTAAAGGTGGATATATCCGAACTAGAATTAAATAGAGAGATGAGCGGAAAACAAGTTTAAACCAAACATGGAATTCATGTATCATGTACTTAACAAAGTATTTAGTACTTTCATGAGATTGATAAATCATGTGCTTAGACCTTTATCCTATTTTCCTAGGTGTCTTTGGGAGTACATGTTTTCCATGATCTTACTATAGGTAAAAACAATATGTATGTCAAGTTCCTAAAACGTACTTTTCTTAGTTATTCCCACCTCCAAAAGGGTTTTCCATGTTTTTCTCCAAAAATTCAACTGTATCTAGTCTTGGCCAACGTTACATTCTTTGAAAATAACCTTTTCTTATCTCCTTCCCATGGTAGTCAAAACAAGTTGCAGCGTAAGATTGCATGCATCTACTATTTTCTTCACCTTCTCCAAGTTCACATCTACTCTTGATCACATTTTCATTGGATCATGCAAGAACGTCGGTAAAGATCGAAATTCACAAATAGTATGACAATCCATGTTTCTTGTTTCTCTCTCCTGCATAACTATGTCTCTTCTGCATGTCGGGTCAAGTTTGTAGTATTAGAACCCATAAACTTTTGGGGGGAAAAACCTTTTAACCCAACTCTTTTTCCCATTATTAGCAAGTAATTTTTATCACACTCCTTTTAATTTAAAACAAAAGTTTATTGTGTCCTCTTTACTCCAAAACACAAATTTAAAGTGTCCCGTTTACTTTAAAACAAAATTTTATGCCACTCTATTTCTCGTTTATTTCATTTACCACCCAAATTTCACCTTAAATTTTTTTTACCACACCACCTTTTCTCATTAACAGCTCAAACTAAACTTATACTACATCTAAAACAAAAGAAGTTTCTCGCTCTTCTATTTTTTTGTATCAGCACTCCACTTAAGTTTTCAACACTCCCACTTTTCTTTTCTGTTTCAGCACTCCTTTGTTCCACCCATCTTTCTAATTCTTAACACATCTTTATTTTTTCAGTTTCAACACTCCCACTTTTCTTTTCTGTTTCAGCACTTCTTTGTTCCACTCATCTTTCTAAATCTTAGCACATCTTTATTCCCTTCTCTTTTTGTTTTTATAAACCAAAGTTAAAATGACTTAAACTCTAATTCCTATCTCTACCCAGCTATACCTATCCCTCTTAAGAATGTTGCAGAAAATAGGGTTTGTTAGAAATATATCTCTTTTCTCAGTTGTAATGTTTACTAATTGATTAGTAATTTATATATAACAGAATTACTAACCACTATTAATTGTATTTTTTCTTCTAGTATCAATGCCTCTTTTCATAGGAATAATATAGTTTGTGAGATAATTTTAAATGGATTATTGTTTTGTAATTTTTAGGATAGAATTTTTATTTGTACCTAGAATGGGGTTGCTGGCTTAATATCTTGGATTTAGGAAGGAGTTACTGTTTTGTAATTAGGTTGAGGTGTTTTGTAGAATGTTACTATCCGTCAAGATCTTATGATTTAAGATCCATACTTCTCCTTCAGATTTTGCATAAGATCTTCATTTTGATACCGTGCTTCTACCATTGAAAATGTTCCCTATGAGGTTTCACTTATTCTTGCAACCCCACTTACTGTTCTTAAACCAGCGTCACTACTCACATACCACTAACGGACATAGGCTCCATTGAAAACGCCTTCCACCTATGCTCCAGCATCTTCTCATGCTCCAAATGCCTTTTACCATCATTGCCTACATCTGGACTTCTATAGTACTTTGCAAACATATTTGGTTCATTCGTAGTCCTAATCCTAAATATGCTTTTATTCTTAATTGTAACTACTTATCTCCCTCCTATTACTCTTAATTCTTAATACAATTGAATGAATAAAATAAATAAAAAGTGGGACTAAACCAAAACCCACTAAGGGAATCTAAAATGTAGGAGACCACATCTATTTCCACAAAAGATGGAGACAATATAAGGAGATATTCCATCCCACCAAATAAAAATTAAAAGTTGTAAGACCATAAGCAGCTAAATTCTCCCTGAAAATAATATGAAAATCTAAAGTGTATATCTTTATATTTCAAAATATTATTCCATTTATTCCTTGACTTCCAAGGAAGTAAAGAACAATTAGAAAAATCTTTAACGGTAAACAAATAATTTGTCTCCACTTAAATAGTCTGAATAACACCCATAACTTCATTTGCTGCTGGGTAACTTTTAATGTTTCCCACAAAACCAAAGATAAAATGCAGTTAAGGTTAAAAACACAGCAATATAACTGTACAAGCACAGCCATCAAAAGAAGGAAAAGTTGTTAATTTCAGTACAGAGGCAAATAAAAGGTTGTCTTTCATTGTAATTATATTCTTTTCCAAAAGCATGAGTAATGAATAACCTGACGATGTTGTACTATCAAATACAAGATGCAGTGCTTGACTGTCCAAGAAATACAATTGGGCTAGTGTCTTTGTATATGCAGCTGAGTCAACTGTCTTGAACTTTGGATGACATAATGGTGAAGCAACCAACATTGAAGATGCAGGATTCAGAGAAGAATCAGGTTGGCACGTTGCTCCGGGCCTTCCAATTAAATCAATCAAATACTCCCTAGACAGTTGCATGCAATATTTTTATGTTAATTTAACTCTCTTTTTTCAGCTAATAAAACCATGTCTTACACATTTTCTATGTAATTAGAAAAAGCAAAACAATTAAACACATTGGTAAAACAATCCCTTCCATTTATCCTAATATTTAATTGAAAACTCAACAAACAAACCATACTACCACTGAACTGATATATATCATGAATGTTAGCGTCCAACCCCTGACGAAAATTATCATAAACAGAACTTTACATCTTATAGGTTGTAGAGATAAGTTCAGTCCCTCATTTGAAAATATTAGAAAATATAAGGAAAATGGTAAGTTGACATCTCCTTTTAACTCAAATATGTATTTAACAACTCATTTTAATAATATAATAATAAAAAAAAAACTTAAAAATTTTCATGATTATTATTATTATTATTATTATTATTATTATTATTATTATTATTATTATTATTATTATTATATTAGAGTGATTGTATGTAAAAAATTGATTGTCCATATAGCAGTGCTGTAAATATAATACTAGGCTTTTGGTGGAATGGAAAATGTTACGAGGTTAATTTTTTTTTTTTTTAAGTTTTTCTGCAGTTTTCTTAAAAGTCATTTACTGTGTGAAGCATACTTATAAAACCTAGGCTACATCCAACCCAATATAGACCAACAACAATAATCAGTATCCTTACTGATGGAAACTTTTGTGAGCTAAGGTTAACAGACCAATACTTTTTCGTAATAGAATAAATCCATTGAAATGAAGGGAAAGAATTACAGATCATCAACTATAAGTAACCCTTCTAAACAAAGAGCAAAACATAAAACAAACATGAAAGAGAAAATTAAAGTAAAAGATATATCTTGGGCCATTTATTTCAAGTAATATATCAAAAGGAAGTATCTATAAGCTCATATGGATTATTTATAAGTCAAAATCTTTACTGAATTAATAGTAATTTATGTAATTTATGTTTATAATTTTTTTATAAATAACAGAGCAAGCATATATTTAAAAGTATTTTACTATATTAATTTTATAAATATGAAAATTACTATTTGTTAATTTATTTTTTTCTGATTAAGTTTTATGTTTTATTTTAATTATTTGCAAAAATAATTGAACATATATATGTATGTATATAACAAAATAAAAAAAATCAGAATCTAGGTTGTCAATCACAGTAAGAATTTTGTTCCCAAATTGGCTAGCCAATGTTTGGGAAGAAAGAAGTTTAAAGTTCAAACTTCAATGAAATTTTCTTCAAACATTACCTTCATAAATTCATTCTTTAATCACAACTAGACTAGTGAAATAATTTAACCTTCAATTATCCCCCAACACACATGTTTTAAAGAAAATTTTTATACATAAAAAAAAACAAATAATGATAAATGATAAATAATTTTATGTTAAAAAAATTGAAAGAATAAAAAGTTTTAAAAAATGGAAGAAATTTAATATTTTAAATTAGTATAAAAAAATTATATATAATCAAATAGTCAGATAACAGACAATTTCTGCACTTTGTATTCATGCAATAAGATCTTTTTTTTTTCCTCTATTTCCCTCTTAGTTATAATCCCTTCTATCCATATTGAATACTACCTTTTAAGTCAAAAAGGTCTATGTTTTAACAAGAACATTCTGAAACACCCATCTTTACAAAATTTTTTTTTTTCATTTTACTACTCAATGTTGCAAATAATTAAAAACTCAACTCAAATTTTTCATATAATTTTAATTATTTAATTAATGCAAAAACCTGTCAGAACCAAACTGCACTATGCATGAGGCTCCCACATCCTTCCTACAATACTTGCAACCTTTTGCAATTCGGCATGGTAGATTGATTAAGTCAGCCAACACCTGCAATATAAATTGTTATAGATCATTCAGCAATCAAACTTCACTAGAGACAAATCTCAATCAGAAACTCCTATTTTCATGCTTTACTAAGGAACAATGAATAAAGAAGTAGAAGATAAATGTTAATCTAAATAATATTGATGCAAAAATAATGTAACTATAGAAAATTAAAGTATATAATCAAAGCATTAAATAATGAACTATACTTTAAAAAGCAATGCTCGATGGACACAAAGACCAATGGCTAAGCTTCCAATTGGAAAAATGATAGAGTTCATACAGCTCTTAAGAACTTGGGTGCATTCCTTCCAGTGGTTAAATAAATTTTCCTCCGACAAAGATCCTCCCCTTTAGAAAATAATCAAAACTCGTTAGGAAATATCAGTGCAATTGTGACTTTCCAATTTATCAAAAATTGAAGACAGATTACTGACCCCATCCTTTTGCACACAAGATTTGCAAGCTGATGAGTTGCCTCTTGGGTGGTGATCCAGTTATTTGAAAGACTTACTACCTTATTTTGCAGTTCTCTCAAGCCAGGATCTCTAGATTTATCAACAGCTACCACTACAATTGACAAGTCATCACCAGGTTCAACTGACATAAGTGATTCAAATGATGGAATAATACCAACATTTGGCAGGTCAGCACTGAGGCTCCATGTATATGCATCCATCCCATCGATTAGGTAAAAGCCATCCAGAATTTTGTCAGAGTATTGTAAACAACCATTCACCTGACCAATATTAAAGCATATGCACACTCAATATATTTTCAGTTAAAGAAAAGATCAATACTATGGATTAAGCATCCGAATTGAAGGTGGTTTACACTTCCAATACTCAAATTATTTGTCACTGTGAAACAGGCTACACCCCGCATAGCTGAATTAATACATGGTATATATCTTGCAAAACTCTGATAGGTGGTCGATTCACACATAACTGTTATAAATTTGTATTTTTAAAATGATGCTTTTATTGTGAAATAACCCAAAAATTGGACATTATACTTGTGACATTGAAGAGTCAATTACCATTTTATTTAAAACTTGACAGATTTAATTTGATATAAGTGATTATAAATGAACCCATATTTGAATTATACACAAAAGACAAGAGAGAAGTAATAATAATAAAATTAGATTGTTCATGTGGTTAATTGGAGTTTAAGGATACTTTTTGGAAATCAATTATTTATGTAAAATTAACTGAATATTTTTTGACAGAACAAATACAAAATTCATTCTTCTCCCCATATTCTCCTGCAGTTCACATTCAAATTATTGCAGTTAAATATTATAATTTAGATTAACTTAAAAGACCTAACATGATGATCTATTTACATAAAATGAATTCATCATAACAAAATACCCAGAAATGATGGGAAAGTCTCTGAGCCGAGGAAGATGAATGATCCGTTGTAAAGGAAGGGCGATAAGTGAGACGAAGGGCAAGTGCGAGTTGTAATTGATAACTCTCCTCGGTTTGTTTGGCCAAACTCTTGGATGAACTTTGTTGTTCTTCTTCGTCGTCAATCATCGTGCTCTCTGTAATCATCCTGTTGCGCTCAGATTTAGAATCGGGTTGTACCTCATCTTCTTCATACATTTTTTTTATATCAGATTTGGAACTCTGTATTAACCATCCATGCAGGAAACCACTGTAGCAGGGAAACAACTGTCGCATTGCAGTGTCTCATCTCTGTGTGCTGTGTAAAGGTAATTAGCAGTTCACCTAGCGTCTTTCTTATTCATTATTCTCTTTTAAAAAATAATTTTTTTTAGGAATACTATTCAACCTGGGTCAATCTTTGTTAAAAAAAAAATGGTTACAGCAATCAATATTGGCGGAATAGTTTTGGTAAGATATAAAAAATATTTAATAATTAGATAACATTCTTATTAAAAATAAGATAGGTAAGTTATTATAGTTTATTAATTATTTTTTATAAACTACCTAATCATATTTATCAATATTAAAAAAAATTCTCTAAACACAAAAGTTTTAATATTTATAGATAAAAAACTGTTAACTAAGTCTCTAAATATTAAAAAAAAAAAACTGATTTTATAATATATATTCATACTAATGTTTTCGCTTATTTCTCAGGGTCCCAATAAAAATAACATGATCCATTTTTTTTTTTAATATTCTAATACAGAGATAGAAGAATAAGTTATTTAAAAAATATATATTCTTCATTTCCAATTACTAAAAATAAAGAATGGTAACTTGATATTAATTTTAATTAATAGCTATACATAAATAATATTAAATCTAAAAATATTTTTCTAATTTATTTTAATTTAATTATTAATTTAATATAAATAAGTTTATTAATCAATTATTGTTATGGTTTAGTTTTAAATTACTTATTTAAATGACTCATCTAAGGGTAACTTTTTTTATTATAACTTACTTTTTCATTTTTAATATTACAAATTTACATTTTAAAATTTACTAATTAATTAAAATTGCATTTATGATTTGATAAATGGAATAAAATAAATATGTCAATCGTGTAGATATTCAATTATTTTTCTGGTTATAATACAAACGCAACAGAGAAAAAATAGTTGCTTAGTAAATCGAGATTCTATTTTCTGTTTCTTCCATATATTTCTATTTACGTCTTTGTCTTTGGAAGGTATCAAATTCACTTTGCTCCATATATACGAGTAGAGGAAAAGTTGATGGTGACAACATGATGGAGTTGTCGGATCCAGCCATGGAGGGGAAGATAGTGAACTACTCTTGCCAGTTGAAAAAATGAAATAAAGATGGATTTACAAATTTTTTTATCGTCATAATCAGAGTTCTTACTCCTGTCACAATTTGCAATTTCCGAGACAAAGAGGACATCACATTGCAGGGATGCAGTGCATCGAGATTCTACCCTTTTATGTGTTTGTTCTGTGCAGATATCAAGTGCACTCTTCAACCATATTTGTAGCAGATAGACAAGTTAATTATGACAAGACGAGTGTGAACCAGTTGGGTGGATCAGAAATTAGATGAGCAATGAAATGAGTGTGATCAAATATAAAAAGTAGAAATCGAATGTACTCTTGTAACAACCTGTCTAACAATGAAATTTGATATTGGTTTTCACTGTAATTTAGTTTAAATTTTTTTAATTAAAATTTATGTTTTATTAGTTTAGAACAAAAAATAATTAAAATATTATTATTATAATTCATTTATAAAAAATATAATTAATTTATATTTTAAGATAAAACCAAAAAATTTAAATAAGAGATCATTACATAAAAATAAATATATCAAATAAATTATTAAAAGTTATAAATATTTTTATATATTTAACATTATATATATGAGGTAAAGATATTTTAGATGAAATTTTATATTATACAAATTATTAATTATTATATCAAAATCAAATTTTGTGAAATTTTTTTTAATGTAAGTGATTATGTACTAAGAAGGAAAATCATTTTTCATCTTATTCCAAAATTTTGTTTTAATAATCTTTATCATTGAAAATACACTTTCTGTTACTGCAGAGATAGGAATAATAAGAATAAGTAGGAATCCATTTATAATTGCTATAATAATAAACAAAAATAATAACAAAATGCTTATTGTTTATTTAATTTTAAAAAATATTAAAATAGATTTATTTTTTAATATTTTATTTTTCTCCAACATGAACAGAAGACAAAAAAAACTGCAACTTTCATAGAGATAAAACAATATGAGAGAAATTTTTGAAAAATTAAAGATAAAAATTTATAATTTTCATGTTGGAAAATAAAAGAATTTGAAAATGAATAAATATTTCTATTAATATTTAAAAAAATAATTATTTAATTATTGTATATAAAAAAACTTAGAATCATGCACATCCAAATCATCTCTAACTAAAATAAATGTAACAGTATATAAATCAAAAATAATAACATGACAAACCAATAAATATCTGCCCCTTTTCTCAAGAATAGAGCCCTATTCTTAAGAATAGAAAATTATTATTTTTATTTGCAGTATTTAACTAATAAGATAACCATATGTTTCATCCCGTATTAAATGTGTGGATTATTCATTGAAGATAAAGGTATATCGAAGTTAAATTTTTTTCTACCATGAACAAATTGTATCCATGGGATGGGATAGATATAACTTCATTCAACATTTGTTTATCCTGATTACCAAATAACTCTTGATCGTTAATTTTGTTAAATATAATGTAATTCATAAATATAATAATAAGTTTTTTCTTTTTCCGAAGCTTTAACAACCATATGTGTAAAATTAAAAAAATTTTTAAATCATATTTGTAAACTTTTATGATAAAATTAACTGTTGAAATTTGCTGCATATACCTCCCATTGTTAACTTATGTCATGACATAAATTGAAGTGTAAAACATAAGCATCTGATAAAACGTGTATTACTTAATAATTAAAAGAAATACATTAATATGATTTCATAAAATTGCAACAAAAGAAAGTTATTTTTTACCCTTCATCATAAAATAAAATAAAAAACCCTAATAAATTATTATATTAAAACAATCTTGATAAATAATTTTCTTTATCATATATTTATTTATAAAATTATTTATTAATAATTAAATAAATAAAAATGGCAATATTAAATTAATTATAAAAAATTATATATCAAACTAAACCTTTTTATTTGTATGCACTTTCTTCCAATATAAATTCTTCTTATATCTCGTATTCTCCCTCGTTTTATTTTCTTTACTCTTTATTCTTTTCTTGTACTAATTTTTTTTTCTTTTAATATTATGACTCGTTTGAGCTCATGTATGGAGACGATGAATTAAACTTTCAAATATGTGTCTAAAAGATTTAAATTAGTTAAATCTATTTTATTTCTTTTAATCTAAATAGAGAAAAGTTTTATATATCAATAAAAAAATTAAAAAATTTTGTAATCTTTAAAAGGGGAAATTGTTTAACATATTTATTGAGCCATCTTACTTAAAAATGCAATTTTTGTTTCGTTCATCATTCTATCGGATTTGAATCTCGATATGACATATGATCCTTATTTTAATAGTTGAGATTGTCAATTAAAAATTATTGATTGAAGAAATCAATCTTGCACTAATGCTGTATGTTAGGTTTACGTTTCTTTATTCATACGTTTGATTTGAAATTTCTATGAAATTTGATTAATCTACTATTTGTAGGTTTTTATTTTTTATATTCTTCATTTTTTTTATATTAAAAATATTGATATTATTTTTTATGATTATTTTTATTTTTTATTATTACTGGTGAAAGTTATGGAAAATTATTTATACTATATTTTTTATTATTGTTTTGTTGTTTGAGTATATTGAAAACTTTTTATGATAAAACACCTTTAGACATTGAAGTAAAATTTTGTAGAACGAAATTGAGACTACAAAACATAAGCATAAAAAAAATGGACAAGAGGGAATTTCAATTAAAATATAATAAAATAAAGCAAGGTATAAGTTTTCTATTCTAACAATTTAAGTTAATTAAACGAAATATGTAATAATATCCAGATATCATTGTATAGAAGAAAATTAAAATTTTACTACGTAAAATAAAACGTTGAATAATTTATTTAAACGAGGAACTAATAAATAAAAAATGAATACTGATTTGACTAGTTTGTTTTTTACTCCATGTGTATTTTAATATGAGAAATTGATAATCAATTATCTATATTTTTGTAAGAATTTAAATTTTAATATATCATGTAAAATGTTTGAAACAAAATTTTAATAATTTTTTTTTCATTTAATAAAAGGAAAGCAATTAAGAAATTACAATTTGATTACTTGAAAAATGATTTGGTAAAAATTATTACAGTAGTAACAGAAAACTAAATAGTCAAAAAGTTTTTAAATTATAATTGAGAACATTTTCTTCCAATTCAAATTTTAAAAAGATTTAAGGTAAACTATTTGTGTTATGAGTTGAATCAAAATTTATCTTTATATTTCATAAACATAGTATTTTTATTTATTAATTATATTTACTGTGGTAGGTAAGATAAAAATATTAAATGAATTTATTATTCCAAAATATTTATAAAAACACTAAAATATATTCATTCAGAAATTATTAAGACTAAAAATTATAAAACGAGTATAACATTGTAGTGAAATACATTTGTTATAGGAGGTGAGAAGCTGACGTGTTTTGTGAAAAAATCCACTCACTTGTATTTATTCAATTTCTTATATTAACGAATCTAAATGTAAAAAAATGTGTGAAAAAATAAACCACGTCATATATTTGTCAATATTACTAATTTCGTCAACTTTTTTTTTCGTGAATTATTATTAAATATTATTGTTTATTTATATAAAAAAAATATCAATTTGGCAAATTTATATAAAATATATCCTAATATGATAAGAAGAAAATAAGAATTTAGATTTTTATTAAGAATTTTTTAAATATTTTTAGATGTTTCATTATGTTATTTATGGTTACTTACAAAATTGAAATCAACAATAATTTATATATATTTATTTTTTCATCTACCAAAAATCATTTTAAGAATACGAATTTTAAATAAAAAAATATTTCTTCATTAAGAATACCAACTAGAATTTTAAATCAAAAAATATTTATTCAAAAGTATATCAAGCCAAAACCTTTTAAAAATTATTTTATAAACATAAAAAAAAATTATTTTTTATCTTTTCATCAAATTTTTATTTATAATAAATATTATATTTATTCATTTACATAATTTCTCACTTCCATTTTTTTCTCTTTCTTCTTTCTATCTTCATGTTTTTTATCTTTTTTACTCTCTCACATTTTATTTATTGTATTTGTTTATTATTATAATAAATTAACATATATAAGATAGTACATATGAAATATTGATATAATATCTTTATTTATTATAAATTAATTAATTATTTAATATTTTATGATAAATTAAAATTTATATTGAGTTTTAAAAATAAATAAAAAATTATAAATAATTTTTTAAAAGAAAAATAAATAAATGCTAAAATAAAGTTTATTTTCTAAAATTTAAATTAAATTAATAATATCAAATAAATTAATATATATTTTATATAATAAATTTTTTTCATATATATATATATATCTCCATTTAACATTTTTTATTCTACTTCTGCCATAAAATTGACAGACATGATACATATTTTTGTAAAAAAATAGAATAAACTATATTTTTATATAATAATTATAATAAATACTTGTATTAAATATTAATTAAAATATTTTATTGATTTTTATATATTATTATATTTTTAATCATCAACTTAATCATCAAAAAATGTGAAAGGCTTGTATATGCGAATTTAAATAATATCTAATAACATGAGTGAAAACAATTTATTACAATAATACCGATAGTCTACTAAAAAAAGTTTACAAATTTATTAATTAAATCTTTATATAAAAATATTTTTTTTAAATATACTCAATACATTATAAATATATTTTAGCAAAAAGTATTTAACCTAATTTAATTTAGATACTAAATTTATATTAAAAATATTTTACTTTTTATGTAATTAAATATATATTAATTTGGTAAAATAAATAATTTTTTTAGGCAATAATTTCCAGTAGAAATGTTCAGGCAAGTTAAAAATAATTTTTTCTATTTATTTTTGTAAGAAAATTGTTCAACTCATGCATAATAATTTACTTATTTTTTATATTTTATTATATAATTTAAGTTATAATTCAAATTATGGTTGAATTAATACTATTTTTATTTTTATTTTTATTTATTTATTACTCTTTTTTTCACAAAATAAAAAAACCATAAAAAGTAATAAATAAAACTCCACAATGGAACGCTAAAAAAAAAAAAAAAAAAAGTTCCGTCACAGTTTTACACTCTAAGAAAATTCTTGAAATCGAGATGAAAGCATGGTTAAATAGTATCATCAAGATCGAAACTACAGCAGTGCAAGAAAGCTGTGCAAGCGAGCTCCAAAACCGAACGACAGACAAATCCCCGAGCATCCATTGTCGAGGGTTTTCCCTTTCAATCCCTCGTCTCAACTTGCCTTCGGGCATAGCTCTGCGGTCTTGAGAGCAATTGACATGGCGAAGTTATCGTCATCGTCGTCTACGTCATCTTCGAGCTCTGAAAATTCCAGGGAACTAGTGTGTGTGGGGACATTGGAAATAGCCACTCCTAAACCAGTCGGGTTCCTCTGTGGCTCAATCCCTGTTCCCACCGACAATTCCTTCCACCATGCTTTCCATTCCGCTCTTCTCCCTACTCCTCAAACGTAAACATACACACTCTCAATAATTGTTTTTGTTTTCATCTGAATTCTGTCATGTGATTTTAGAACTAAGCGTTGTTTGTGGTTGATTCAGTGTTTTGAGAATTAAGCTTTGTTTGTGGTTTGATTCAGGGTGAATGCTCCGCATTACCGTTACCGGATGTTGCCTACTGAGACTGATCTGAATACGCCGCCGCTTCTGGCCAATTTTCCAGACAAGGTTCTTCCTGTTGGGGCTGTGCACTCCAAGACAACAGGAGGAGGTGCTTACTCTTCGTCCTTGGAGTAAACTAATGCATAAGTGAAAGTTGATGTTCAATGGTTATTCTTCCTTTTGGCTCATGGTTGTGATTTTGTGTATTTGTTTTCATGTTCTTTCAAAGTTATCTTAAGATGCAATTGAGATTATTGTCTAAAATTTATTATTAATTATTATCTAAAATTGATTCGAAAACACAAAATTTGGTGGGTCTCATTCTTTATTTAATGAGTCTACATCGTGATCTTGTAGTTTCGAGTGTATTCTTACCTATCGCATAGAGTTGTTGCTAGTAGCTCTATGGATTTTCATTGAAATTAGCTGCATATATTTAGGGGTAACAGTTTGAAAATGGTTGCAATCAATGTACGGCACAGAGTGTCTTTTTGTAATTATTTTTAAGTCATAGTTTAGTTATCCCACCTTGTTGAGAAAACTTGGCTATTATTTTCAATTGGAAGTTAGTTGATGACTTTGTGAATGCTGTTATATTATTATTATGGTTGCTCTAGTGTTAGTGGGACTTGATTAGCTTATCTACACTTAAAAGGGTCTATGTTAGGAAGGGTAATAGGAGAGATTTGAGACTCAAGAATGAAAGTCCAAACTAATTAGCCTAGGATGGAGGTCTAATTCCTAGAGGGGGAGTGGATTTTTCTAACATTTCAACCTTACCTATTAAAGTAGAAGTCAAGGGGCAATTGTGAATTTAAGCCTAAGATTATGTCTCATTTCATATTTTTCAAATATCTTGGCCAAGTTAAGCGTAAGATTATGTCTATGTCCACTTTCTAATATAGTATCAGGGCCTATCTTAGTAATCTTTATTAGGACCTTTGTACCAACCACTATCGTACCACCCATATCCTCGATGTGAGCGGGTTTGTAAGGAATCTCTCATATTGTTGATGTGAGGGGATATGTTCAGAATCACTTTGATCCTCGATGTGATGAGATTTGCTAGAAATACTACAAGTATCTAATCCGGCATTTGACATGATTAGTTCTCTGCATTAATGAGTGTGTTGGAGATCTCATATCAATTAGAGATATAGAAAATTTAAGTTGAGTGCGAACCTCACCTTACAAGTTGATTTTTGAGGGATGAGTTAGACCTTTATCCAATTTCTAATGACTTATTAAATGTTATTGTCACTTTTGAAAATGGAGATTTTTGTATCAAATTTTATTTCTACCATTTGTTAAAAACATCTACATATATTAGGAACATAAGATTTTTCATGTATTAGATAGATCTAACACATGCAAGTGTGATCATCAATTGAGGTGGCATACCATTTTTCTCTAAATTGGGATGTAATTTTTTATGGACCCCCTACATCAATATGGATTAAATGAAAAGGATTAGATGCATGATAGGCTACTATATACTTGGAAACATCTTCAATGTAGTAGAGACCATCCATCATTTGAGCATTGCCAATCATCTTCCCGGAAGTCCATTCCTGGAAAATTTAATGAGTGTTAAAGAACTTCACGAAACAATTAGAATCCTTGCAAGTTTTACTAACAGAGAGAAGGTTACATGAAAGTTTTGATTCATATAGCACAATTTTAAATAAACATATTTAGATAAAGTAATAAATCCTTCTCTTGCAATTGCTAAAAGACAACCATATGCAATTCTAATATTTTTATTTCCAGAAGAGGGAAAATATGTTTTAAATCAGGAAAAAGGCTGATCATGTAATAAGAAGCACTTGGATCAATGATCCATGGTATAATGTTTTGAGGTGCAACTAAAAGAGTTTGAGGTACTCAAATTACTTGTTTGTACCAGAGAACCACTAGGATAATGAAGTAGATTTTAACAACCTTATGAATTCCTCTACTTGTTCCTTACATAAAGATGTAAGGCCAAATTTAGGTCTTGATTTAGAACCTAATTTACTGCCCTTTAGTTGTTTTGGTCTCCCATGATTTTTCTAGCAAGTTTCTCAGGTGGGATGTGATTCAGTGAACACGCTAGGGATTTGAGGGTTTCTTCTGGTTTGTTGATCTCTTATGAGCAGTACTATGGCCAAAATGTTTTGTCTCAAGAGGTGAATTCACTTTTGTCTTTCTCATCTCCCTTCTGCAAGTTTCCTCTGTTCTCACCTTTGCAAAGGTTTCACCCAGTGAAGGCAATGCTGCTTTCTCAGTGATTCTAGCACGAACTTCATCTACCTCATTGAGACTGCAAGAAACTGAAATATTCTTCTTTCTTCCACTGTTTGGTGACGGTGTTTGGTATTCTTGGTTGACTTCCACTTGTAAGTGTTCAAGAGATCTAGGTTCTCGCACACCCACTTCAAAGAGTGGAAGTATATTGTCACACTGCCAATTTTTTCTAAGTTGTAAAGGGAGTTCTTAAATCTGAGATTTATTCCCAAGATCTGAATATATTTGTCACACTATCCCACAATTCTCTGGCTGTGGAAATACATTTAATTACAGAAATATTTTCAGGGAATAAAAAATAGATCTAATCCTCTTTTGACACCCTGTTAACACAAGTGAACTGAATCCATTCAATTCAGTGCCCCCCCTTTGCACTTCTCACAAAACAAACACACTGTTCATGTATTCTTTCTTTCCAGCACATTGAGAGTGATAAATCTATAATTCCTTCTTCTTGGGTTTATACTGCTCTCCTCTCACTTTTAGTCATGGAAAAAAGTGTTGTAATGAAATACAGATGCATCAGTGCTATCATGAAAAACCGATGTATGGTTACACTGGTTTCCATTTTTTTATCAAAGATTCACATGTTCCCATTTCTTTATCATAGATTCACATGTTTCAGATTACATATGATTTTAATTTTAAAATCTCAATTTGTTGGTGACAGACTTTCCTTGGGAAGGCACTGCTGTTGCATCAAATTTCAATAGAAAATGTGAGGCCCTTGCAGTTTCTGGATTGGTTGATTATGGAGATGAGATTGATGTAATTGCCCCATCAGACATTTTAAAGCAGATATTTAAAATGCCATATTCCAAGGCTCGACTATCAATTGCTGTTCGTCGCATTGGTCATACTCTTGTTTTAAACACAGGGTGTGCATCTGACCTACATTTGACTTCATTTTGTAGTCATGACTAACTTCCACTTAATTGTGGGCTCTTATATTTGCCGTTGTCTGCCTTTTGATTTATGATAAAATTTTTCACTTTAGAAAACTGAGCTTCCCTGTCTATTGTCTTTTGACACAATAAGAATTGAAATATTTATTTTGATTAGAAGAATATATTAGCCTTTGAAGATTACAATATTATACGCTTCAACAAGGAAGAAATGTACAGACAACTAAAAACAGTTGCATGTTCTGGTTTTATTGCATCCACGATGATGAATTGTGCATTCTATTTTACAGGTGTCTTTGACCCATTCTTGACATCATTTTGTTGCCATTACTAACTTCCACTTAATTTTTGGCCTCTTATAATATCTGTTGACAGATGTCATTTGATTCTTAATAATTTTTTCCAGTTTAGAAAATTGAGCTTACCTATGATTGTCTTTTGAAACAACAAGAAATTGAAATCTTTATTTTGATCATAAGAAAATATTAACAGTGGAATATTACGATATTATTTGCTTCAACAAGGAAGGAAATGCACACACAACTAAATAGTTGCATATTCTGATTTTATTGCATCCATCATATATAAGTTGTGCATTCTATTTCATTATCTATGATACTTCAAAGATGATTTTTTCATAGATCTCTTTCAGATGTTTTATAGGGATTCAACCTTATTTGGAAAAAAATAAATATCTTAGTTAAGGATGTTTTTAAATCCTCATTTTTTATTCTGATGCTTGCTTTTTGACTTTCTGTTTTTTGTAACCTTCTATTTATCATAGAGGGAGAGAAACAAGAGGGCATGTAAATGAATATGTGTGTGTTGACAACAAGGATAAGACTTTTATCTATAATCAAACTTATAAATACTGTTGGAGATCTTAAATTGACTAGAGATATGATTAAATTATCATATGTACAATAGGTGTAAACCTCGTCTTACAAACCAGTTTTGTAGGGTTAAGTTAAACTGAAGTTTACCTTCTAAGATGGTATTAGAGTCTATCCTGATAAGGTTTGTTGGGCCTATTATCTGCATCAAGCTGTTATCGGATTTTAGGATTGAGTTAGACTTAAAGTCTACTTTTTAAGAAATACAATGTATACATAATTATTCAATTCATAAAATTCCTAATTACATTATTTCCCTATTTATGTAATATATTACATAACTACAATATTCCAAACAATATTCAAGCATTTAGATTTATAAGTGACAAAGTATTTATGAAGTGCAGGCCAGATGTTGAAGAGGGAGAAAAACTTATAAGGAGGCATAATAATCAAGAAAAATGTGCAGATCAATCTTTATTCTTGAATTTTGCTATGCATTCCGTTAGAATGGAGGCATGTGATTGTCCACCAACACATCATGTTCCATCAGGAGATCAATCGAATTCTTCTGTACTTCCGGGAGGGAAACCACCCCATATTGTGG